TGCTTAAAAAACTCTCTTGGGGGAGAGCTTATTTTGCACGGTTTTGCACGGTTTTGGGCTACAAAATGCTATTAGCCCAGTCCGTATATACACATACGGACCGGGCTAATAGCTCGTTTTGCACGGTTTTGCGCTGAAAAAATGCTATTACTCCAGGCCGTACTTAAATGTACACCCTGGAGTAATAGCTTTTTTACACGGTTTTGCGCTACAAAAAGCTATTAGTCCAGGGCCTATGCAAATGTAGGCCCTGGACTAATAGCTCGTTTTGCACGGTTTTGCGCTGCAAAACGCTATTCTTCCAGGCCGTATATCAATATAAATAGTTTTTCCTTCGCCGTACAAGTCAAAATGCGTGTATATAAACAAGCATGGAGGTAGTCGCCGCCGGAGCCCAGGATGAGCTGATGCAGAGCCTGGACTACAAGCTGAAAACAAGCAACACAAGCTACGTGACGGCGCGGCATGACGTGCAGTACTTCCCCAGCTCGCTGAGCTCCTTCTCCCCCACAACCTCTTGGGTCTGCCGCATCCCGCTGGCCAGCGGCACGTCCTTCATCGACCCCAAGTCAATCAAGATCGCCTTCCGCGTCAGGAACACGGACGGCACCAACCCGCTGGCCCCAGCCACACCCAACCCCGCCTGCTTCGTCCAGCGCGTCCAGGTCTTCGCCAACGGCCAGCGCTGCGACGACATCAACTACTACGGCCGCACCGTGGCCGTGCATGACCTGCTGAAGGGCCGAGAGTACAACCGCAACAAGGCCATGGAGGGTTTCGACAAAGAACGACCCCCGCATCGCGGACGTGCTGCTGCGCCCCACCATGGTGGGCATCCTGCGCTGTGGGAAGATGCTGCCGCCGCAGCTGAACCTGGTGATAGAAATTGAGTTTGCGGACGCCGCAACTGCGCTGTGGTCCAAGAACGCCGGGGCGCACCCGGCGGGGGCCACGCTAAGCACCGACTTTGAGATCCAGAACGTCCGAGTTCTGGCCTCCCGTAGAGTCCTTCAACCGCGTGCTCCTCTCAGGAAGGTCCCTCCTCCGTGGCCGCGCGCGCAATCTTGTTGCACAGCGCAGCAGGAACGCTGTAGAGCAGCTTGCGTGGCTGCTGGCTGACCCTCTCGTACTGCCCCTCCAACAGCCGCGGCCCCCGCTGCGCGGCGCGGAGGTGCCTGCCATTCTGCCACGCCTCGCAGCGGCTGCCGGGCCTGCACAGGCCTCGCCTCGGCCTCCAGCGCATGTTGGTCCACAGCCGCGTCTGCTTCCTGTACGGAGTTCCGTCTTGCAGTAGGTCACGTCCACCCGGGCAGGCGCTCCATGAACGGCCGGGTCTTCAGCAGCCCGGTGGCCGGGTTCTCGATAGTGCGCAATGATCTTAAGGGCGCTGAGCACCAGCGCGTCGCTCTCCAGAACCCGCCGCGGGCGCGTCGTCAGCGCGCGGCTGTATTCCGTGCAGACCGGGCTGGCGGCCAGAAATGGCGGAGGGCTTGCTTGCTGACCCGGGGCTGGCTGTTGTTGTGACGGGGCACGTGCCGGAAATGGCGGATGGCTTGCGTGATGGCCGGGGGGCGCTTGCTGCTGCGGCTGGGCAAGTGGCTGCGGTGCGGCCGGAAACGGCCGAGGGCTTGCCTGCTGGTCGGGGGGCGCTTGCTGCTGCGGCGGGGCAAGCGGTTGTGGCGCGGCCAAACCATGGCGGAAACGTCGTGTAGTTCCAGCTCCGGATGTCGCACAGGATGGTGGGCTCAAATTTCGACACGATGTCCAGGGAGACAACCTTCCAGCCCGCCGCCTTGAAGGCCCTGCCCACCGACTTGGTGCCGCAGAAAAGCTCCAGAAGTCTCGGCATTTTTAAAGAGCAAGATCACCGCCACTGCGACAACCAAGAAAACTTGCGCGTTCATCGGACCGGACTTTTTTCCTACGGATAAAAAAAGAAGCCGAACTTCGCAACCATAAAGCTTGCACTTGGGCTGGACGTTCAGACCAATGCCAAGGGGGGAAAATTCATGTCCATAGAGGACTTCCATCAGGGCGCGCTGGTGTGCAAGGTGGACGTGGAGGTGCTGTGGGAGCCCGGCAACTTCCAGGCCAAGGGGTGGAAGTGTGCTTTGCGAGCAACACCGACCTGGAGCTGTGGACGGATGGGGTGGAGCAGGGCGTCATCGACAACATGATCGTCTTCCAGAAGCCCTTTCCGGGGGCCGCCCGCACCGAGCTTGAGAGCCAGCTGCAGCGCGCCGTCAAGGTGAGCGCCAAAGGCAAGCACGTTAAGTGCAAGATTGACCTGGAGCGCTGCCTTTCTGGGACCCGGCCGGCAACCGCGTGCCGCCCCGCGGATCGCGCGCCGCAGGGGCCGCGCGCTTGTGGAGGCCCGGCACGTGTGGCTGATGGGCAGGCAGTGGGGCGTGCTCTTTGAGGTGCGCCACCTCATGCTGGAGCCCCTGGAGGCGCCGTGCTGCCCGTTCGGCTAGGCCGCCTCCAGCAGCTCGGAGCTCGTGGGCCTTGAGGCGCCCACGTACAGGTGGCGCAGCAGGACTCCAGCTCCAGGCGGACGCGGTTGTGAAGGGTGAGGCCCTGGCAGCTGGCGCAGGTCACTGCGTGCCCGCAGCAGCTCCTGGTTCTTCAGCCGCATGCCGTTGTCCAGCCTCACTCCGTCCGGCTCCACTTCCGCCACGGCCACAAAGACCCCCTTGAATATCTTTCCGCCGGCCCCGATAAGGCGCAGCCCCGGCCACACCCTCATGCTCTGCGGGCTGTTTTGTGTTATAAATTTATCACACCCATTGGGTGTTGCAGTTTGGCAACACCCATTTTGGGTTTCATAACACCCCAAATCTATGTGGATGACTTCCAACTCTAAGAGCTTTGAGGCCTCCGGCGCCAGGGCCCGGTTCGCGGCCATGCGCTTGCTGTGGCTGATGACCAGCGTGGTGTCCGGCCACCCGGGCTTGGAGGGGTAGAGCTCCTTCAGCCTCGCCTTGGCCTGCTCCAGCGTGGGGCACGCCTCCTCGCCGACCCGCAGCCACTTCACGAAGTTGAAGATGCCGGGGTCGGAGCGCATGTTCTCCGTGAGCTCGTGCCTGTGCCCGCCGGCCAGGTCGCGGATCAGCTGGCTGTGCTCCAACGGCGCGCTGATGGGCCGCCCGGCCCAGGAGTCCAGCACGGCCGGCAACTGCCGGAAGTCTCCCAGCAGCAGGAACTTCACGTCGGCGTTCAGCCCCACGCAGGCCAGGTCCGCCCAGAGCGCCATGTCCAGCTGCGTGATCTCTTCCACCACCAGCCAGGTCCAGAGCTTTTGCGCGCACGTACCTGCGCACCCAGTGGTCGGCCGTCTGCGCCCCCAGGCCCAGGTTCTGCGCGGAGCAGTGAGGTGCACCGCCTCGCCCTGCTCTCGCAGCCTCGCCACAATGGTCCGGGCCAGGTGCGTCTTTCCGGTGCCCGGCAGGCCCGTGAGCACTCAACGCCGTCCGCCGGGCACAGGATAGGCAGGTGGAAGGGGGCGTTGGCCAGCCCGTTGCGCCTGCAGCGCACCTCGTCCACGCCGACGTTGCGGGACCCGTAAAAAAAGAATGGCAAGTTGGGCGAGACAACGACAGCAGATCACGGAGGCCGCGGACGGCGGCGCCCGGGCTCGCACGGGGGCGGATGGAGCCGTCGTGCTGAACTTGCGGCGCGGACCGGGGGCCTACACGCTGCTCTCGCGCGCGGACGGGCAGCTGACCCGGGCGGGCCAGCACTACTACTCTCACCTGGGCCTGCGGCCTCCCAGCAGGGACTTCGACTACAACCAGCCCCTCATCCGCGAGGGGCCCAACCCTGCTGATGTATAGCGGTTGCTGCTGTTGCTGGCTGCAACTTGTTTCGTCAAGCTGTATGACGAAATTTGAACCGGCACTGATGGAAAGTGCTGCAGATCATCCTTTGCATCGTGTTTTGAAGTTAAAGGCACAGTCAATTGTGTGTTCAGAGTCATTTGAAACCTGACTGAAGGCTGACAAGTGAGTCTACCCACTGCTTCCCAACGGTTGTTGAGAAATTGATTCAACAAACCAATAATATTAAAATCAAAACGTTGCACAACACACCCTTAGAGACGCAGATAAAGCCGACCAACAAAGTTTCTTACCTGTTATGGCAAGCGGAAACTCACGGATAGGATTTGCTAAACAATTTCACAGCACGCCGCATACAACTCAAGCTTTGAAGCAGATTTTTCTGGCTTGGGATCATTGGTCTAACACTGAGACTGACGGCAGTAGACAGATTTGGAGGGAGCAGGGCATGTCCTGACTTTGGCCCTTGAGTCGGGGTGTTGAAAAAAGGAGCGGCAGTCGTTGCGCAGGGCTGTGGCAGTTGCAGGCTCAAAGTCGTGCTGGCCGTGATTAGCCGTGATTATGTGACAGCTTCAGGCCCGACCAGGCCCAGTCTGTCATTGACAGACAGGGCCTTGGCGGGCCATGCAGCTGTGAGGTTCAACTGTCAACTGGTTTCAGCCTGTTCAAAGCATGCATGCAGTGGCGACGTTTCATTTCGTTGAGGAATTTGACTGGGCTCAAGGACTATCTAGACTCCTGGCAGACGAATGAGACAAGCAAACAGTGCAGAGGTTTTAAAGTCAACACTTACTAACGCGACTTGTCAGCAGACCTGACCGATTTTCACACCCAATGCATGGCGAATCGCTTGCCTTTAGCAGTGGCGATGAAACCTGCGGAGATTCAAAGCTTCGCGCACCGCAGACTTCGAGAAGGAAGCTGAGTGGGCCAGGTGACAGTGGCAGCAAGCCGCGCAAAGCGAAGTCTTCCGAGCCGGATGTCGCTAGCAAACGTGGGAAGAATAGTTTTGCCTTGTTGCATGGCCTGACGCAGGAGAAACTCAAGTCATGGCAAGGGCATGCTTTGATGGGCTCCTGCGTGCCGCAAGATGTCAAGCAGACTTTGCCATGTGACGTGCAGCAATCTTTGAAAGAGACCTGGCTTGCTGTCTCTGAGTCAGGAATGACCTGTATAGCCTGCAAGCGGGCGAACTTGACTGGGGCATGGGCTGAAGGAACAGCTGGTGCTGATGTTCAAGATCTACGCGCCTGGTACCTGACCAAGCACAACCAGTCAAAGGCCCATGGCCGGGCAGTGCAGCAGTATTTGAACCTAGGTGTGGGCCCCGTTGGGGCGCCCGACCTGTCTGAGTTCGAGTCAATGCTGAAGTCTGCTCAAGAGGGCGATTCTCTCCGCAAGATCAACCCGTTCAAGGCAATGTCCGACAAGACCGCGCTTATGATGTGGGTGCTGCAGGAAGCCCTCTTGAACTTCATCAGAAAGGATTTAATGCAGGCAGAGACGATCTCACTGATGAGAGACGCGAGGCGACAGCGCCTTCTCATACGGTATGGGCTCTGCAAAACCAATTTTGAAGTTTGTTCTGGCATCTTAGGTGTTGCCCGCGACTTTGGGGACACTGGCGGCGACATTGTCAGGGCCACCCGCCACATTCTGAAACGAGTCTGCACGGAGTACGCCTGCCCGCCAAGATGGTACAGAGGCCCTGAGAGTCGATTTCTGAAAGACGTTTACAATCACGCCAGGCGCGGCTGCGCAGCCGTGCATTGTCATGTTTCAATTTGTTGCACGCGTGCGTGCGCTAGGGACTGAATGAATTTGCACGAGCTGTGCGCATGTCACGTAGCATGGCTGATTTTAGTGTTTCAACGAATGCAGGCAGTGTGTTTCTTGAGGGCAGTGACTGACTGGGTGTTGCCAGGGAAGCAATTGAGCTCATAACCACTGACGCCGCGTCCAACGAGATTCTTGCCAGCAACGTCGGCGCTGGAAGGAGGAGTTCTCTGGTGGAGTCGGATAACAGTGACGAAGCGCGGCTGACACCCAATTTGAAAATGATTGGGCGTGACAAGGCCCATTCCTTCAGGAGGCTGATGACCCGACCTTACCAGTGCGACGAGTACTTGGACGAGTTACTCAACGACTTTGTCCATGACAAGTCTTCAATGTGTCAGAAGATCCAGCACAGCTTCAATCTCAAGACCATCTTTCAGGAGCAGGTCGTGAAGCAGGAGGCCAAGTGGGGCCAGAAGATCAAGAACTTGCGGGCAGCGAAGCACAGATTTGAAAGTCTTGCGGCGCCCATGGGCCGGATCCTCCTCTACTTACCAGCGTTTCTTGCTACCTGCGCACAAATCTCTGAGCAGCGGCTGGCTGCGGGGCCCCGAGCCGAGGCATTTCTGAACAGCTTGACTGCAGAGCGGCTTCTTCAAGCCGGTCTTCTAGCCGACGGGATGGACGAGGCCATGCTACTCATCCGTAGCGTTGATGTAGAAGAGGTCGACGTGTCCGCCATCCCGTTGCTTGTCCAGTCCTTTGTTGACAGGTTGCATGCCTTGTTTGGCCCAGACCGGTGCGCGCTAAAGTGTCCTGGCTACACTTCCCACGTTGTGGATTTGCTGAAAAGTGGCGCTGTGTGCTACTTCTTGAAGCATGACCTTCGGCGACTTCGCATGCCTGATGACAATGCAGTGATGGACAGGCTGTTCCGCCGAATGGCCTGCTGGCTCAACGTGGTGATGGAAGTCTTGCGGACTGAGTGGCCGGACTACACGCTCTTCGCTGCCATGGGCGTTTTCGGACTGTCATCAAGTCACTCGCGATCAACTGCTGCAGCCGAGTTCGCGGTCAATGCAGGCCAAAGCTTTGGCCGCTTAGCCAAAGCCTTTGACTTGAACGCAGGCGCTTTGGAGGCAGAGTTGGAGCGAGTTCGACCAGTGGCTCTGCGGCAGCTTGGTTTAATTTCGTAATGTTTTCGCATTTGGTTCCTTGACAGACTTGAACTCAGGAACTGACATGTTTGCAACGTTAGCGTTTGCAAAGTGTTGATTTTTCACCGTTCTTGCGTCGTGGCTAGTTAGGATCGCCAGCCAAACTGGTTGCAGCAGTCGGGAAGCTTGGAAGCAAGCCATGACCACTGCTGCCAAGAGCCGCGGCAACTTCTCCTTGACAAACTTGGCGCCAGTTATGTGGCGCTTTTTAGCGTGGCAAGCATCAACCTCAGGGCTGGAGCAAAATTTCAGCAAGGCGGATCTGCATCACTCCACAGGCCGCACGCCTGCCTCTGAAGAGTGTGAAGCACGCAGTGTGCGACTTCTCCTTACCCCACTTGATCGCAGCCAAGCCCTTGAAGTTTGCGAAGCTGCCCAGCTGCTGTACCAGCAGTGTTCTCCCGCGTTATGCCCTCAGCCTTAAATTACTGCTACGACTTTTGGGTTGTGACAGTTGACATTTTTTTGAATTCATTTTCATGCCAGTGAGTGTTGACCGACTGACGACAGGCACGCGGACTCGGACGAAGGAGCGCATAGACAAAGGAGTGAAGCGACCTCGCGCCGAGGGTGATAGCGATGTTGGCTCTGTGGCGGCTTGGTTGCGGACACGGCGGCGCGGGGTTGACGCTGCTGTCAAGAGCGCAAATAACTTGGACTTCGATGTGGAGGATTTTGTCGGCGCCCCGGAATGGACTGAGTGGCATGGCGCGGAGAAGACATTCCAGAAGGAGAAGCAGCACGACCAATTGTTGGAGGCGTTTAGCTATGGAGCTTTGGCTGAGGAAGATGATGTGGGCAGTGAGCTTGCAAGGCAGGCAGAGGAACGCCAGCGACTTAACGTCAAGAACGACAAAGTGCTGGTCAAGCAGCGCCGTCGCGCTGATGAAGCTGCTGCGCGTCATCACCATGTCCTGCAGTGGGACAGTTTGTCAGGCCTATCCTACTGGATGACACCATCAGAGGAGGGATCCGAGGCCGAGTTGGTGTTGCAAACGCGAAACCTCGCGCGGACCACAGACCGCTTCAAGGCCGACATCTTCTTCGTTCAAGATGCTGCGTCCCCGCCGGAAAGGGTCCGCTGGGTTGCTGCTCTCTGTGGAAAACAAGTTTGCGATGTTGCAGTTGTGCTGGGTCGTGGCGGCATGCGCGTCGTTTACAAACCAGTCATCAGGAGACCTTGCAAGGTGTACATCACTGAAGACTTCAAGAATCGGCATGTAGAGATCTTCAACATTGTGAAGCAAGCTCGGGCTCAGCGCGGCAGTAAGTGGACCATTTGCAGGACGCATACGGATCAAGTCACGTTTTGCTTAGCGACAACCGCTGAGTGTGAAAGCAAGCCAGACTGGCACTCCAAGTCAGATTTCTTAGAACAGGTTTCACGTCTAGACAAATCCAAGAGCGTCAAGCTGGCAAAGCTGGCTTGAGCGGGGTGTCTTAAACTTTGACAGGGGCGCCAGTGGACACCCAGCGCAACGTTGTGACAGTCATTCCACATAAATTAAATTCAAGATCTCACTTTTGTAGGACGTTGAACTGGTGTCGCATCATTGGCTCAGGGGCTTAAGCTTTGCTGACCGGGGACAGGCGCGAGCCTGATTTAGCAGCTACCTCACTCATGAGATCTGACAAGCCTGCCACACCGAAAACGAGCCTCTCACGCGAAATGGCATGTCTCTTAGCCTTCGGTCTGCGAACCTGCAGTTACTTGAGTTAAATTTTCTGTCTTGCCAACTGACTAGACTGAACAGACCAGATCAGGCCCAGCAACATATGCCGGGCCTCTTTGGTCTCGCTCAGTTTTTTTACCGTTTCATTCGATGATGGACGCCCAAGTTTGAAGTTGATTTATGACATAGTGAGGCCGATCAGGCCCGGCAGCGTATGACGGGCCTCTTCCGGCTTTCTTCATCCAAAACACGTTCTGGTTTTGCCATATTAAAATAATAGTTGTCAGGGCGCGGGACCGATCCGGCCCATAGCCTGTGTGGCTGGGCCTCTTCGGGCTTTAGCCCAGATGACTACAGCTTCATAGTGAGTGTATGGCCGATGATCAGGCCCAGCAGCTTATTGCCGGGCCTCTTCGGGCTTTCGCTCCGTCTCAACTTAACTGTTTCAGTTATTTTGCTGGAAAGACACTGTCTAAGTCTGAAGCTGCCAGGGTTCATAGTCAGCGCAAGACCGGTCAGGCGCAGCAGCATGTTGCCGGGCCCCCCCGGGCTTTCGCTCAACATCATCTCAGTTTTTTTTCAAGCATGGCTTGGCACTGTCAGTGGCTGCCCGCCTCAGCCTTTATTAGCCCCAAGCGTTGCTGTCTTGCATAATAAGAAACACGCCTCAACCATTGGCAGGGCAATCGCTCGTTGTTGCTGTCATTGTCAATGATTGTTGGCCTGGGTAGGCCTCGTCTTAGTCAGTGTGCCATGGCATGGCCGCCTGCTCGTGGACGTCGCAATGGAGGACCTGCTGCCATTGAGTGTGTGGGGGTCGCTTTGCAAGTTGGAGCGTCGGTGAATTGAAATCGGTTGCCAATAGCACTTCGGCTCAGCTGGCTGAGATTGGTCAGTTGGCAACTTCCTAGCCATGGCTGACAACTTGGTGACGGCGGTGTCTGGCGGCACGACGGCGGCGGCCCAGGCTGGCAGCAGCTGCGTGGGAGGCAGGAGTAAGAAGAGCAAGTAAGTTATGGCCACTATTTTCCCAAAGGCTGCTTTTTGTGTGTTGCTGTCTGTGTTGAAACGTTGTCGTTATCCCATTTTGCTGCTTGACATTTGTCGCGATCGGCTGCAGGTCTGCCTGGCATGATGGCGGCGCCGCCATACTTGCCGCCCCCGCCGTTTCTCCGGGTGGACAATGAGGGTGGCGTCTGCCTTGGCGGGCAGGAGATGACGGAGATGGCAACCCGCTACGTTGACGTGAGCGGGTATGTCTTCGAAGCTGTGCCGACGGTGACGTGGTGGGCGCGAAGGATTGGCCCAGCGGCGCCTTGGCAAGTTCAAAGGTTGCATTTCAGATTTTAGCCGTGCCCCTTGCAAGTTTTGTCTTCGTTATCTGTCGCAACCATGGTTGCGTCGAATCAGGCAGTGTCCGCGCCCGCGCCGGCGCCTGCGCCGGCTGGGCCAGTGATGGCAGGGCCAGTGCCACCTTCTCCGGTGGTGTCGGCAACGCCGCCGCCCTCTTCGTCGCGGATGCACACGCCGACGACGATTGCCAGCTTCAACGGTGGCACTGACGCTCTGCGTAATTTTGTTGGTCAAATTTTGATGGTTAGTCTTAAGTTTGTTACCTGAAACGACTTGTCGAATTTGATGTTCGGCGGCAACCAGGGCATTGCCGCCAAGACGCCGGGCCTGAGCCCGGCTGCGGCGGTGGAGCAGCCGAGCCTCTTGCTGGCGGAAGAGCCTTCAACGCACTGGCACTTATTAAATCATCTTGAAACTGTTTTACTGTGATGAAACTGTGACTGTGGCTGACTGTCATCAACTCAGTGTCAGGCGAGCACTGGTGGCACTGCTGGGGCTACTCCTGATGAGCTTCGCCTTTGTGGACACGGCGCCGCTGGTGCTGCTGCTGCGCCTGGCACTGCCACTGCGCTGCCTCGTCGTGACTTTCCGGCGGAGGTTGACCCGCGATCAAGATCTCCCCCAACAGTCGCGGCAGCTGCGACTCACCCTCGCGTTGGGCGTCAGCAGATGCCGGTCCTGCGGGGAACTGTGGCAAGGTTCATTCAATTTCCTGCTCAGCCTCAGCCGCCTCAAATGCCTGTAGTCGGCGGGAGGACTGCGATCGTGCGGCTGCCTGCCCCGGCGTCGTGGACGTCGTCGTAGTGAGACAGCCTGGCCTTTCCTGGTTGTGTCAGTCAGTGTGTTGACATCCAAGAAACTCGTCATTGGCCTTTTTTGATGACGGCAATGCAAGGCCAAGGCTGGCAGTATTAACTCGTGGCAGTGGAGCTATTGTTGAAAAAAGGAGCTCAGAATTGACGTGTGCGAGCTTGATCGGGGTTCCTGCGGCATGGCTTGAGTGCGCGAATGAATTGCCGCGCAGGACTGGCCGCAACCCTGCTCGCCAGCAGGAGCGGGTTTGGCATTGCTTTTGAATTGTCGATTGGCCTTTTTGAGACTCAAGTCCTTTTCATTGCTTCTCATCTGCAGGAGGTCCTCACCCGCTGACTGGGCAGTCAGTCTGAGCCAGGCACTGAGCAGCACTGCATGAACATGTCAAATTTTGATGCCCCGCACAGGCTGACTGAGCACTGAGTGACGGCTGGCGACGGCCAAGTGGGCCTGCTAATGGAGAGTCCGCCAGGGAACAAATGCTTTGAGCCTTCTTAGCTTGCCCAACATTGCGCGGCCACGACGAAGCCCGGCCGCTTGGCCGGGCCTTGTCGGGCCACTGAGTTGCCACGCGATGTCTCAGTCTCTCTGACCCTTTTGTTTGTCATGCATCTGAGTGGATCAAGGCGGCTTGGCATTGACTGCACTGACCGTGACAAGTGTCTGACCAAGCAACGCAATGAGTGAGCCTAGATGATGAGCAGCCAATGCAAGAATTCAAACATTGAAGGATGACACTGATTTTAGAGTGACAGCCGGCACGGCGCCTTTGCTTGATGGCCGCCGCTGATCATGATCATGATGACGAGTGGGTGCAGAAAGTCCTTGAGACTGGGCGCTTCAAGAGCTGCAAATTGTTGGCCAAGGGCGGCATGGGTGCTGCCTTCAAGGTCCAGATGAAGTCGGACTTGATTTTTGGATGCATTCAGTTGCTCGAGTTTGTTATTGAACTGATTCCTGATTGAGTATGATTGGCGTCTACTAAGGTCCTTTCAAGCTCTGAAGCTTGCGCTGCAGGAGGCGGAGGGCGATGATGATGGCGTCATTGTCACGGATGAGTTCTTTGAACAAGCGGCTTGACAGAAAATAATATGCACCAACCTCTGAGACTGATGGCAACACAAGTCGCTGATTGAAGTTAAGTGTCCGTCCACGCCCAGGAGCGGCGCATCATGTACTCCTTCAGGCACCCGCACTTGGTGCCCATCTTCGACTCTGGCACGTTTAGCGGCGGCTTGGCGTGTCAAAATTAGTCAGTGGTTACGGTTTGTTCAGAGCCTGGCAGTTTGGTTTTGCATGCTTTGAACTGAGGAGGCATTGCTTTCCTGCTGATGGAGCTGATGAGCTGCGATCTCAACAGCCAGATTCCCATGGACGAGAATGCGGCGGCCCGAGTGACTCGGCAGATCGCCAGCGGCCTCATCTACATGCACCAGGAGCTTGGCCTGGTGCACAGGGACGTGAAACCCGGGAACATTTTCCTGTCTGGCCAAACGGCAAAACTGGGGGACTTTGGCGTGGCAACCAGGCTGGTGCCACCACCTGACGTGGCTGGGACGCCAGAGTACTTCCCGTCAGAGGTCTGGGCTGGAGATGAGCCGGTCACGGCCAAAGTGGATGTCTATGGGCTTGGCTGCACCTTGCTCTTTGGCTGAAATTTGCCATGTTCATTGAATTGAGCTGGTTAGATCAATTCACAAAACATCAGAGCAAGACTCATCAAGACATGTGTGCGTGCGTGTGTATACATATCACCTATCGTTTTTTTTGCAGCTTGCGAGCCCAGGTACGAGATGCTGGAGGGGCGGCTTGCCCACCCGGTGCCGCCTTCAGTGGGGTCGCCTCTGCCCAATCTGAGCTCGCGGGCATGGAGGTGTTTTGGTGGCAAGCTTCAGGCGGCCTTCGAGATGCTCATGCGCGACAGCACGCCGGGCCTCATTGAGGTGATCGGCACGTTGAACCTGACGGAGGCCATCGAGCCCTCCACGGCGGCGGCATTTGAGCGCAAAAAGCGCAAGGAGCGGGAGATGGCGTCGGAGGAAACAAAGAAGGCAGCGAACAGGGCTCGCAAGCTGCGCCGCAAGCAGAAGAAGGGCGCTGCTGCTGCTCAGTGGCTTTGTTTGCAGAAAGCCAAGCCTCAGCCAAAATGTTGTTGCCCGTCATTGTCATGTCTCAGTCAATGTCGTTTTGTTGGGCTCGTCGTTCCTAAGGGCTGGCGATGACGAGGTTGACGTTGAGGTCATCAGCGACGGCGGTGGCAGCGGCGGCATGGCAGCCTCAGCTGCGGCTGCGGCGGCAGGTCCGGCTTCACTGGCGGAATCCGTGGCGATGACGCAGGAGTCTTTCAGACAGTTTCTGCGGCGACTTAGCTGCAAGTTTGCTGTGATGATTCAGCAAGTTTGATGCCGTGATGATTCAGCTAACTTTGCAGCGACGAGCGGCCTTTGCAGGCTTGCCCTGCAACCTGGACCTGCTGCTCGTCCTCCTCAGAGTCGCTTTGCAGCATGACCGCAGGCGCAGGGCAGGTGCCAGGGTCACCCTAAACCTTGTCAACCCTAAACCCTAAACCCTAAACCCTAAACCCAGGTCTGTTTCTGTTTAATCAATCAATCCGCCGGCTCCGCAACTACGTCAGCAACCGTTATACGTCAGCAACCGCAACCGTTATACGTCAACCAACCCAAAATGCAAGTTATGCTAGTAAACGCCCGCAACCGTTGTACGTCAATGGTCTCTCGGCAGGTGCTCCCAGGAGGAGAGCCTGTCGAGAGGGACCCCCCCCGCTGGGGGGTCTCTCTGGACAGGTGCTTCCGGGAGCGCCTGATGAGAGGTACCCCCCCCCGCTGCAAGCGCTGATTCTAAGGGACCCCCCCCCGCTGAGCCGCTTGAGCGGTGCCAGCGGGGGGGGGTCCCTCTCATCAGGCGCTCCCGGGAGCACCTGTCGAGAGGGACCCCCCAGCGGGGGGGGTCCTTCTCAGCCAGCCGTCGCACAGTGATAGTTTGCAAGGTTGATTGGTAATTCAATGAAACCTAAACCCTAAACCCTAAACCGCCGGCCAACTATTTGACTTTTCACGGCGCCCCCTCAAATCGTTATTATTTTTTATTTTTCAATCTTTTGGCACCTCCATCTTAATATCGATCACTGACTTTCAGTTGAAAAGCTTGCCACTGACTGAGGCCGAAGGAAGCCATTGCCTCTGCCGCGGCGGCGGGGGTGATTCAGATGATCACGGCGACGCGGAGGCTGGGCTGACACTGAGGGCTTTAATTTAAGGGGCCGACGATGGTTGATGGTTGTTTTGACACAGCAGGACACACATTTAAGGGCTGCATTCTTGTCTCACAAGACATCACTGCGCTTTTGTTATTTGATGACCTTGGCATGATCGGTTCAAGGAAATGTCGTTGTCGTCTACTGACTGTTGGCATTCTCACAAGCGTTGAATCACGCAATTTTCAATGTGGGTCAACGACAGACAATGCAAGTCGGAAACTGACAGCCAGCTGAACCTTACAGTGAGATTGGGTCATCGCATTGCATGGGCCATGGCAAGCAAGTGGCGCCTGAACCGGGCAGAAGAAAGCTCTGTTCAAAAGGAGGCGGATGCGGTGAAGGCGGAAAGGCTGAACCAGGGCTGCTCTGAGCAGGAGGCCAAAGAAGCTCACAGGCAGCATGTCGCCACCCGCACGCAAGAGCTGAAGAAGGCAAAGGCTGATGCCAGCAAGGCTAAGCAGGCTGCCCGGTCCGCAGGCGGGAAAGGTGCAGCCGCCCCGCCGTCGCTTGCCGCCCCGTCAGCGGACGTGCTCCAGAACAACACGGACTACTACACGAAGCTGATGGACTCAATGTCTGTCATTCAAGGCCACCCTGTTTTTCAGCGGATCAACGAGGCGATGCCGCTGCTGATCACGGATGATGAAACCAAAGAGTGCGGCGTTCAGGCAGGCTAGCTGCTTACTTTCAATTGCGTCTGTCAGTGTTGGCTTGATTGAAACCAAATTTGCAACTCAAACCATTCTCACTGCAATTATTATAGATGCGATGCTGCCGGAGCACATTGTAAGTTTTTGAACTAAGAGCGACGCCGTGTGGCAGGCTGTCTTTGAGGCGGAGGCTGCGAAGATTGCATTGGCTCGGACAGGAGTGTACCGGGCAGCTTGCAATTTGTTCTGGCTTGACCTGACCAGCAACTCGACACCGAGGGTGCCGCTGAGCTACGCAAGGGTGCGTGAGTGGGCACAGACTGTCTTTGGCAAGGGGCCGCGCCACTTCAAAGACCTCATTCTCGTTGCAGCCCCTGCAGCTGACTCGGACTTGCTTGCTTTGCGCGGATCTTGGAAACAAGTGACGCCGGAAGAGCTGACTCACAGCACTGTGTTTGCGCTGGCAGACCGCATCACAGCAGGCGCCGGTGAGGAAGAGCTGCGATCATGGCGTTCCTGCTTGCTGAGCACGCCGATGATGTTCAGTGTCCTGGGCAACGAGGATGCAATCTATTGGGAGGCATACGACCAGAGGCAGAGGACTGGGTCTGAGATTCAACATGTGCGGTTTGAATGTGCCAAGTCTGGCTAGGCCTTAGGCTGACGGACGCCTTGGCAACTGAATAATAATATGATTCAATCATACAATTCACGGCTAATTAATATCTAAGTCTATTGTTGGTCACGCGTGCAAGGATTGTCCAAAGCCACGACACTATCAAGAGGTCAGCCCGGCAGTGGGCGCACGAGATCATGGCGTTCAAAGAGAGGAAGGAGCAGGAGCTTGGCGAGGCGTTGACTTCAAAGCGCTTGCAAATGCTGTTCAAAGATGGCTCGAAGCACACCGAGGCTCGCTCCACCAAGATCGAAACTGGCGCGGACAACTTCGTTGCAGACTGTCAAAGGGTTTACGAGAAACTGTTGACAGACAACTACTGCAACGCCAAGCTCGAGTCGTTGGAGCGCCAATTCGGACTGGAGTCGCCGCTCAATAGCCTTCTCAAGCTCCGTGTCATCATAGAGAAAACAAGCAACGTCGAACAGCGGCGCTGGGTGTTGGGCTTTTTCGAAGATGCATTGTCGACTGGCAAACTGAGCTGCGACGCGGTACCTTGGCTTGTTTTTTGTGTTTGAAGTCGTTGCTCAGCTGTTTGCGTTTTTTGTTTTACAATAAGTGTTGCTTGAACGCTCCTGGTATGAGGTTGGAAAGAGCTACCTCCAGGGCTCGCCAACTGCTGCTTCAGCCGTGGACTTCATCAAGTTCCGCCGGCAGGCTGTGGACTTCTTCCTGGAGGTGGAACTTGCTCGGCAAGGGTTTCGCTTGGAAGACTTGCAGCTTGTCAAGCAGCATCTGGCCAACGTGGAGATCTACAGGCAGACAGTCACTGCTAAGCCAGATGCCGATGGGGTTGTGGCGAGCCAGTGGCAAGCTGGTCTGAAGGTTTCCTCCATCAAAGCGCTGAAGCTGATGGAGGACTGCCTGAAACCGATAAGACTGGCTCATTTTTGGCTGATGCCCAAAATAGAGGCTGAGGCAAATGTCACAGGTCAAGTATATTAAGGGGTCTAAATTATATTTGGCGCGCTTGGGAGTTGTTGACTGGCTGACTGGCTTGGTAGCTTGCTCAGTAAGACTGCCTGATTGATTTTATCTCAGACACCGATTCGCTTGGCCTTTTTTCAATCTGGCTCGAGCCATTCATCAAGGGCTGGCTTTCTGACTGATTGACTGACTGGCTGCGCAATGACAGGCATTTGTTTGATGAACATGGCAGTTGACTGATTAACTTTTGCTTTCTGAATGCTGAGCTTAGATTTTGGTAGCCCGGGCCAACTTACATTGATGATGGTCTGGTGTTCAGCTTCCCTGGCCCTTCTCAGATGACTGTGTCCCCGCAAGGCTTTGCTGGTTTTTACACAAACATTTGTGGGTGGCCTGTTCAGACTGGTCCTCATCCACGTCTATATCCCCGATTATTCCGAGATCGCGGTGGCACCAGGCCAATTATTGCAGCTTCCCCCCTTCATCTAGCCCTGCGATTCGAAGATGGCTGCACACGTTTGAATGTCCCTAAGAGGCAACCCGGGAGTGCTTCTTTGGACTGTCTTTTAACTCCTGCCAGAGCCCTCGAACTGAACTAATAATTAGCTACCAAGACAAGTCATGTGTGTTAATTTAATGGCTGAAACGTTCTTTGCCAAAGTTTTCGGGCATTTCAAGAAACAACTTCAATTGCGGGCACTTGACTGACCGTCTGTTGCTAACTGATAGACTGATTGGCGCATCCAAGAGAGGTCAAGTGACCACAATCATTTTAACAAGCGCCCTTTATTTGTGCATTTTTGGGTCTAATAGGCTGAAAGAAAGGCGCCTGCAAAAATGGACTTGCCCATTTGTTGGATGGTTGGCTGTTCCGGTTCGGTAGTTCGTCGCTCTCAAATCATTGTTTTTAACATGAATAATAAAAAGGAAACATGTGGCATGGCCAGGACCTGCTGTTCGGAAACTCGCTGAACTCAGCCATGATCGCGGTCCTGAAAAAGAACCCAACCAAGCCAGAGCCCCTGGAGCTGTGCGAGGTCGAGACATTCAGCCTGAGGATGCGTGAGTGCACGAAAGAGAAGGATGCCGAGACAGCGTCGGAGAAAGCTTTGGCCGGCATGAGCGAAGAGGCTGAGCATGCTCGGGAGGATGACGAGTGCACCAAGATAGCAAAGGGCGCCATTCCGGCCACGCCCTCGCGCTACACGAAAGGCAGCGTCGAACACTTTACGGCGACTGCTGCAGAGTTGCTCAACATCTACTGCCTCCTGCAGCCCGAGCCATCGACGGAATCCGCGCTCATCAAGATGATCAGCGAGTCCCCTCTGAGCCCGAGCAAGGTCAAGGGAGTTCCTGGCAAGTCAGCTGTGTTGATATACCTTGACACACAGCTCATCGGCGAGAGCAACAAGAAGCCGGCATTGCGGCTGCCACCCATTCAGCCAGGCTTGTTGCAGAAGCTCATCACTTGCGCGCTCAAGGCCAGAGGTTCCTCCCCCGTTGGCAAGTCTACCCAAGTGGACACACCGATCGAGGGCGACATGATTGTCGTTAACGACGGTGGCCGCGCAAGGGATGACCAGGTCCTGGCTCCCTTCAAGTCAGCCAGGACAAGGGGCAGCGTGAGTCCCCACTTGGAGCACTGGGAGCTCAGCCTGATCATCAGCCAAGACAGCGTCAAGCAGAAGAAGAGAAAGAGCCGCGGTGCTTTGAACCAAGTAATGAAGTTTCACTTCATTACCAAGGACTCCTTGGACAAGATGGTGCCAGAAAGGAAGCACACAAAGTACCCTGGCAGCTGTCGCGGCAATGCTCTGGCGTTTGTCTCGCTGGCTTCGACTTCTCAGACTTGGCAGGCTACTGTGGAAGAGAAGCAGGCCGGCGGTTTCGAGCTTCAACAATGACTTATTATTATGCAACATTGAGCTTTTCGGAAATAATTGTCTACACTAATTAAATTCCGCGTTTGCGCGCGCTTCGATTCTTTTGGCAGGCAATCTTCAAGGAGAAAATCTTCGGCGGAGACGGCTTGAGCAGCCAAGCGGACGAGGATGATGTCGAAGAGGGGACGGCGGCCGCGCAGGAGGCAGAGGGGGAACTTCAACGGAAAGACCACGATGTCGAGCCGGTCTTCTTTCACAACTTGCCAAAGGTGCTGTTTGAGAACTTGCTGGGCTCTTGGAGCATTTCTGCAGTTCTGGATCTCAGCCCAGGGTCAGGAGAGCTGGCCAAAGCTGCTGTGGAGAAGCGATTGCCTTATTATGGAGTCTGCCTGAGTGAAAGCCATGCCGTCAACCTGAAGCAGGATTTGGGCTTAAAGTTTTTTGGGGCGCCGCCAGTCATTTTTGTTCGCACGAGTAGCGTTTAGTTGCTATAATAATATTATAGTTGGCGTCTGCCTGAGGAGCTCATTGGCCACATCAAGACGAGCATGGCGACAGAGGGCACGCCGTTGTATGCTCCAGAATGGGCCGAAGTGGCAACCAAGGAACGGAAACGGCACTTGCGAGTTTTGCGTCTTATTAATTATGCGCTTTGAGATAGATAGACTAAGACGTGTATTATTGGAATGGGCCTTTCAACTTCCTGGCAGGAGAAAGGCTCCCGCCGCCTTGGCGCCGACGACGATGAAAGCCAGAATGATGATGAAGAAGAAGACGACCAGCCGTTGAGGAAGAAGCCAAAGAAGAAGACAAATCCGGGACCCAAACCAAAGCCCAAGCCTAAGCCAAGCAATGATGGAGAAGGCAACGAAGATGACGAGAAGGAGAAGAAGAAGCCGAAGAAGAAAAGGATCATCGCAGATTCAAATTCAGACTCTGCAAGCGAATGAGCTTAGTCACTTAGTGGATTGCTGCGTAGCTGGGCCAGCGCAGCAGTGACTGTGGTGAAGCCATGACAATGATCATGCCATCAATGCAGGAAACTAATAAGTAGCAGGTCAGTTGACATTATGATTGCAGCAGTCACTGCGGCGGGGGGCTGGCGTTTTGGATGCTAGCAGTGGCAAACATGTTTGATGCCTGCCAGCTTTGCATTTGCGGGAAAGATTGAAAGGATAGGTTTAGGACAGTCAGAAGGGAGGCAAGACCTGTTCATGTCATTTGCAGTCTTGACAATATTATGTCGCTGTTCGCTTGTGTTGCGAAGCAGGCCAAATTGCCGTGCCTTATGATGGTTGCAGACAACAATCGTCGAGAAAAATGCTCGGGCGCCTGCGTCACGTCATCCTTGGCTTTGCGCAGCAGTCTGTCCGATAAGGCCCGCGTCGTTGGCCGGGCCTGGTCGGGCTGACTGATGCGTAACCAATGGGTGACTTACTTGCAGAGTTGTTCCATTTCATTAGCTTGGGCGTGGCAAGTGATGCATGTACAATGTGTGTTGCTGCAATGACATTGCTGGCCGCAGGCCCAACATCATCGCTGGTGGAAACGCCAGTAGCTTAGTGCTTTTGCTCGCGTACCTTGCCAGAAGCTGAGAGAGCAACCCAGGCTACTGCGACTGACAGGGTTTTACAGTGTCACTGATGGCACGGGGCGGCCAGCGGCGGGCAGCCTGCTGCCCAGGGTGTCGCACGCTGGTTTAAGACAGAAGTGAGGCTGGTTTAAGAATCGTCGGCCATGAAACTATAAGCTAAGCTTCAACTGATGTGCGTTGCGCAACTTGACCTGCTTACATTGGGCAGCAGGATGCAACTTTTAGCTCCTGAATTCTGGTGCTTCAGCGTGGCAAAGCCACTGTAGTAAACATGGCTAGCTCGCGGCGCTGCGACATGGATGCAACATGGATGATGGTGAGAAAATGATGCCTTGCCGAAAGTTTGTGTGTCACTTTAAGTTAGGGTGTGTGAAAGCAGAAGACAGCTACTTAGGTCTTGTTGACGGTGCGCGCCAACACAAGTTGGACTGAGAAGTAATGTTGCTGGCTTAGACTAAGATAGTTGTAGACAATGGCCGTCAGACCCGTTCAGGCCCGGTGTGCAACGCCGGGTCTCGACGGGTTTGCCGACACTTTGTCTCAGCCAGGTTGGTGTGTCAGTTGTAACTCAGTTAGAATGTGTGGCGAAATTAAGTAGCGCGTGGCTGGGCTGAGAGTTCCCTGAGAGTTCCGTTGACGGCTGGCGGCTCCTGGTGATTGCTTCAATTATTTTTGTCGGTGCGTGCACCCAGATTCGATGGTTCAAGCGATCTTCCTGACAGTTGACACAGACATGTCAATGTTGACAATGGCGCGTAAAACAATGTTGAAATTCGCTTTGAAAGCAAGCAGATGTGTCAGCAGCGAGTCACCAGCAACTTAGCAAGACCTGGACAAACTCACCAACTCCGGCTGCAATGGACGACTTAGAATTTGACAACCATGCCTGCGCAGCGACAGGAAAGCCGAGAGCGACCACAGGGAAACCGAGAGCGGCCAGGCCCAAGGCCAAGGCTCAGGCTGGAGGAGAGCGGCGCAAAGCAGGCAGCGTAAGGGCTGTGAAAAAGATCCTGAAGAAGAAGACGTCTGGCAAACAGCAAAAGGCGAAACCTACGACTACGCGGCAGGCCTCCTCCTCATCATTGCAGAACATGGTTGCCACAAAGTTCCTGCAGGAGCTTGGGGCGTTGGCCTCAAAGCTGGCGGCCGAGGAGAGGGAGGGCGGGTCAAGTTTTGCAAGAGCCGAGCTTCGGCGTGGCCGAACAATCTTGCTGGGCTCTGACTGCGCAGGATTGGGGAGCGACTTGGTCAGTCTCGTGATGTCTCTTGACACAGCCTCAGCCAAGACAAAGTTCGTTGCAGAGGCTGACCAAGGGAAGCTTCAGTGGCTGCGTGCAATCTCAGCACACCTGGCTGATGAAACCCCGGAGCTGGAGTACCAGGACATCACCACGCGTGACAACCGTTTGGCGCCCAGGGTGCATCTGTTTGTTTCAGGAGCACCCTGCCCCCCCTTTTCCTCTGCTGGCAAACGGGGGGGTTTGTCTGATGATCGAGGTTGGCTCATACTTCACTCACTCAGCTACGTCGTTTGGCAACGTCCAATGGTTGCCGTGTTCGAGAACGTGAAAGGCCTGGCAAATGCCCGGAACAAGGCATTGCTGGATGCCATTGTCAAGATATTGAAGGACTGCGGGTACAAGGTCTATGCTGATATCTTGAATACGCAGGAACATGGCTTACCACAGTCTCGGCCACGCGTCTATGTCGTAGCTATGCTGAAGGATTACATCTTGCCGACGAGAAAGTTCAGCTTCCCCGAGCCAATTGCAATGCCGAGCTTGGAAAGGTGTTTGGATCATCAGAAGGAACTGCCGGATTCCAACATGCCAGATCAAGCGAGTGGCAAGTCTGCAATCAGGAACATCCGGAAGGCGAGGGGGCGGCTGCTTGCCAAGGGCAGCGATGATGTGCCCTCATCCGAGGAGGTTGTAGTTGACACAGGCTGCGGGAAGAATTTTTTCTCTATGATGATTGGTCGCTCGCCCTGCCTGACAAAGGCAAGAGGCGGACAGGGCGGCTACTACCTGCTCAAGCGCAAGAGGCACATGACGATTTATGAAATGGGGGCGATCCAAGGGTGGGACAAGTCTTGGGTTGACATTTTGCTGGAGGCCAACAGCTCCTGCAAGAAACTGGGCAAGGCGTTTGGCGACGGCATGTCCTTGAACGTGTTGCAACGCCTTCTTCCGCGCGCCCTCTACACTGTGAACCTTGTGAACAAGCTTCCAGAAGATCATTGGAAGAACATGCCGAAAAGTGGCAGACTCCCCCGGGCCGTCTACAAGCAAAAGCTTCGGCGGCGCTGAGGTTTCGAACGCAATCGGGATTGGCTGAATCTACAGCTCGTTTTACGCCGCTGGTTCTCTCCAGATTCTCATTGCTTTCAGTTTTGCTTCCGGCCAGCCAACCTGCGCTTTAGACAAACCAGACCCGATGCCTCAGAGCAAGTGGCAAAAAGATAGGTTTTGCGCAGGGCGGGCTTCTGCAGGGTTTGTCAGGATACTCGGCCGTCGGGAGACCAATCATTGGCACAGGCAATGACAAAGGTTTCGTATGCACGACTGCAAGGCCCCAAATAAGAGATGCAGTTAACAGATAATGAGGGGCTCAGGGTCTTCGCTCGAACCTGTCTGGGCCAACCTAACCGTTTCCTGTTGAACTTGTGGGCAGGGGACCGCCGAGGCCCGGAGTCAGTCTCCGGGCCTTTGCGGGCCCCTGACCGATTGTTAAACAGACTTTGGGGCAATCAACAATGAGTTTTGAGGCTGACCATGAGCTTGGCTTGCTGATTGATTCGCGCCAAGCCTTGCTGTGATCGCTGCAGGTTCAATCTCCCTTTGTAGTCGCACGTTGCTGGCACGCATTAGGCATATAATGTTGTCATCGTCGTTGCTGGCATGCAGATGAGTCAAGTGACCCAGGCCGGCTGCGAACATCAACCAGAAGTGAGTCTCTGACTGACCCGGCGCTGAGCGCAGCTGGTGAACTTCCGTTTCAGACCAATGATCCCAGCCATCAAGGGAGATACCACTGAAAAACAAATCTCTCAGCTCAAGACGAGGAGTGTGGACACATGACAAGTGCGGCAGTAGACACGTTCCTCTTCTATAAAAATGATTGCGTTGACGCCGTACCTCAAAGCTTAACCAGGTTCGTTGGCGATGATGAATGCTTTGTAAAATTCAAGGCTCGCTGTTTTGCGATACCCAATTTGGATTCAATCACTAAGTCTACACCTAGAAAACGCGCATCTCAGTCTCCCCAACTAAGGTGTTTCAGCCTTGAAGGCATATTTTGGCGCTTTTCAATTTTTAGATCTGATGTCTCTACCTGTCACTGAAGCAGCTATGATGATTTAACACTACAATCATTGACGGGTGAGTCGGTCGTCGTTTGGTGAATCAAGCACTGTGGCACTCACTTGTCAACAAAGCAGCCTTCAGGTGGGTAGACTCACTACTTGTCAACCTTGACAAAGCAGCCTTCAGGTTTCCAAAAACTCTGCAGCCATTGGAGTTCCACAGTACTGGTTGAAATTTCGTTATACAGCTTGACGAAACAAGTTGCAGCCAGCAACAGCAGCAACCACTATACATCAGCAGGCAACGACTACATCCTGCTGCGCAACGGGCAGAAGAAGCTCGTGCGCTCCCTGCAGGGCGGAGAGCACCGGCTGACCAAGCTGGGCAACCGCGACAAGTACTACGAGCACCTGGTCCACGCGCCGGTGATCATCCGGGGCAGGAGGCGCAGCGGGCGGAACGCCGGGGCGGGCTACGAGCGCAGGGACTGGCTGCTGGGCGGCGCCATGACGAGGCACCCGGCCCACCTAGGAGCAGGTGGCGCAGCGGGTCAGGCAGCAGGTGGAGGCCTCGCTGGGCGACCCGGCCGGCCCGATCCTGCAGCTCTCGGACGAGACCTACTTCCTTGACCCTGAAAAGCACTGGTGCGGTCAGCACCCAGAGCACGCAGATCGGAACTCCAGGACCGAGGTGGACTGCGAAGGTGGTGCGAGGCGCTGGGGCAGGAGTACCGAGGCCAGCGCCTGGCCGGCTTGGCGCGCGAGATCTTCCTGAAGCTGCTCAAGGCGAAACGGCGGCGCGGCGGAGAGGCAGAAGACCCTGGCCGCGCAGGACGGCAAGTGCGCCCTGTGCGGCTGCGGGCTGACGGCCGGCACCTGCGAGCTGGACCACGTGGTGCCGGCGAGGCAGGCCTTTGCGGGCAGCGTGCAAACCCTGCAGGCGCTGTGCGGCGACTGCCACAGCGAGACGCTGAGGGAGAGCGCGCAGCCCACCAGCCAGGAGAGCCGCGTGGCGCCCGGAGTCATGGAGTACGCCCGGAGCCCCAAGCTGC